TTTTTTTTTTTTTTTGTTCAAGCTTACGCCGGTTACACTCGTTAAACTAAACAAGCCTCGCGAGAATTGCTCTAATATTTCTATTTCCTACTATTTTCCAAAAAATAAATACGTCTTGATACTTATACATATACACTTAGTAAACTTCCTGAATAGTGGCACTTGTGACCTTTGCTTCCACGCCAGAAAACGTTTCCTCTTAAGCTGTTACAGGTGTTTCCTTCCTTCTATTTCGAAAAAAGTTCTCATTTCACTTCTTGAAGAGATTTTGCCAAATCTTCTTAGCATTTTAAGCAGATCTTTATCTACAAATGGATATCAGTCTATCAATTTCCTACTTTTGTCTTTCAACTTTCATTTCTTTTACAAATTATACCGCATCATAAGATTGTTTTAATATGTACGGCCAGTTCATCGTCTGTTACTTTCTCGAGCAAGAAAGTGAGGTAATATTTAAGAATAGGTTTAGGATTAGGATAATTTTTAGACAGAGAATGCAAGGAGAGGGTTTTTAGCGGCCGAATGAAACGCAAGAAAAAAACTGCACTCTATCTTTAATAAATAATAAAATTATTAATTTTTTATTTTTCAATCAAAATGGTGTTAACACGACAATCATTTTCTAAATTCAAATAACTTTATTTTTACAAACATTTTTGATTGGTGGAATTTTAATTATATTTTCGGTGGGATCCGCGTGCACGCGTTATTAAATTGCAATGCTGCAATCTTAATTGATACGCCAGTAAAGTTTTCATGGTTTGAATTTGTTTAATAAATTTTTGCGGCCACTTTTGTGGAATTGGCTGACGCCATAGTCGTGTCGTGTCTGGAGGAATTGATTTGTAATTATATGGTTTTAATTAATTTCACATAACTGCATTGAACGTAGCCAAGTTTAATTGCTATAGGATTGTGTGACAGTAAAGTGCGGATGGGACATGGATGCAAATAACCCATGGAAATGTTGCCGATTACTTAGGTCAGCTTATTCTATATATGTATGTGTTTATACAATTCAATTTCATTTACTCAATATGCAATTCTTTATCAATTCTTACATTCTCTAATAGCTTTAAAGCAACATGTTTAATTGCAGAATATGCACACTACAATAATATAATGGGTAACGTCATAGCAAACAAAACACATTTGGATCAATAACGCTTGCGCTTTCAGTGACAACACTCAAGCCATGGTTGCACGAAAACTTTTGAATACAGACATAATAGAAAATAACATTTTTGAAAAGCAAAAATTATGTTAAGTTCAAGAGAAGTAAACGACAATGCGTTCGTACAAGTTATTGAATAGACAAATCTCAGGCACTGTTAGTGTTTCTCCTATGAGTAAAAGTAATAGTGTCTGTTTGACCGCTTGCTCTTTCATTTCCACTAATTTAAGGCAATAGCAAGAATTCCGTTAACCCGTTACACTGCATATGTAAAAAAAAAGAACCAAAAAGTACATAAATATTCTGTGAAGATATATGAAGCAATTGTTTAACTACATTTTTATAAAACAAAAATTCCGATTTTAAGGGAATATCCACTATGGTATATATGTAAGTATCGATGTAAGGAAAAAGCCAACCAGTAGTGATGTATATAGCAAATACAATTTGTTCTCTCTTCATTGTTTATTTCACATTGAAGAATTCTGAAATTGTATGTTCATCGATTGCTTCAACAAACTTTAGCACAAACATCTTACGAAGAAATATGAAGAAATTCAACACATTCTCGAACATTTTAAAAGATGATTTCTAGAAGTCTTGTGAAGTAAATTAGCAAAACGTCAAACACGAGCGCGACTCACGTACTGTCGAAATAAAATTGGTTGTATGTACTGAAAATGCAAATGCTTCACATTTCAAATGCAACATGATGTTGGAGTAGTCACTTTTTCAAAAAAATTTTCCGCTTTACTAATTTTGCACTTCATTAACGTTTATGTAAACAAACGCCAGCCAAATGATTTTCACGTTTTTGCATATATTTACAAGAACCTATGCTACTTGTGAACCATATAAAGCGACGTTTCGTATTTTGCAACTAAAAAAATCGATTTGCATGAATTATGATCAGAATATATTCTACATCTATTCTATAGCTGGCATATTCTATAGCTGGCTAGTAGCGCATAACCACACGGCGAAACGTTAGCGCTTAAGATGGCTCGTATGTGATACGGAAACTTGGATAGAATATGTTAAATATATTTGTATGCAAATAAAATTAATAAATGTATAAATAATAAGTTTACGTATAATATTACATATATATATATATATATATATATATATATTCATATATAATGTTTATGGTTTTGTTTTAGATGGGAGTTATTTTTGTTTACTTTATAAAAATGTTTCTTAGGACATACAGCAGTCAATGGCATAAATTTACACATTTCAATACCGACGAGGTTGAGCCGAGATGAGGTGTGTGTGTCTATGCTAGTGCTAAGTAACAATTACATCGTGTTAGTTGCAGATTATTCTTTTCATTTTATTAAAACTATCAGTGGCTTCTTCCATTGCATTCCATCATAAAGAACTTAATCATTCTGACCATGAAGCTTGAATTCATGTCTGGCAAAAACAATGTTTATTATAACATCGAAAATTCCGTTAGCAACATTCATGCATTGAAACTATAATATCATACTCCACTTCATTATCCGAAATGTAAACAAAGAAACTGAAAGAGTGAAAATACGAAAATAAATACAATTGCAAAGTTTGCTCAATATGTATGTGTAAGACTGTGAACATATACTACTGTGCCTAAAGCGTAAAACAAATTTAATTTTATCTTTTTTAAATCTTCCAAGTCTATTTCATCGCCCTCAAAGTAACCTACGCCAGAGATTGTACGCTTATGCCGACGAAATGGTCTCGAAGAACCAATGCAGAAATTGAGTGCTTGTGGTACCAGTCGAGATTTGACGCGTTTCGCGTGCAAAATATCTTCTAAAATGTCGTTGACTGGTATTTCTGAAATTCCAAGAGCTTCAACAAGGTCACTAATTGTTAATTAACGCTTTTTGAGCACCAGAAGTTTGATTACATTAAGCCAATAAAAAAAAATTTATGTAATGAAAAAACTTATTATTATTATTCTTATTATAAATTTATCCAGAGGATAAATTCTAAGACTAAAGTCTTAAAGCACTAACATCTAAGGCTTTCGGCTTTATTAAAAACTCTACCGCCCTTGAAGTTTGAACCCACGACCATTGAGTTGCTAGTCGAGACTCTTGCCTACTCGGCCACTCAGGCGAATTGAAAAAACTTAAAGTGTGATCGCTCTTAAGATGTCAGCTAGAGCTAATACTATAAATTTTGTTGGATTTTGAGGAGCGCTATTTATTTAAATATAGTTAGAATTTATTACCAAAGGTTAGAAAGATTCAAATATTTAATCGCTTTTCTAGCTTACCAATCGACGGCAGCATTTCTGAACTTCCTGATTGCAGTCAATGCATCCACTCATTTGATGTTGTTTTGTTAACGCTGTTAACATCAACAAATCTTCTTAATGAGGAACGTTAAAAACTCTTAAACTCTTAAAGAATTTTTTTAATTTCATTTTAAATTTTTCTTAACATTGCATTGCGCTGATTATCATGTTTTCGCCTTCTAGCTTAATTTCGAACTTATGTAATACTAAAAAATTCTAAATATTAGAGCCTTCTTCCTCGATCCATTTGCTAGCGCCGGTATTCTTAACATTCATATATTTGTACCTAAACCCACTTAGCTAGAGGAACATATTCGAAACTAATAGAACTGTTATAAATATGAAGTTGTGCACAACTCTTAGCCGGTACAAACTTTTTTAATAAAATAAAAAATCGCTCGAGCTCGTAGCAAACAATAATGAAAACAGAAAACCACTTTCTCTCCGTCTTCCTTATATTTTTGCTTCTCTAATAAGGAAAACTATCAAGTGTGTCCTTTAAATTGTTATCAGAGAATAGATCTCTGATCTAATTGTTATTAGAGAATAGACTCTCCCTAATGAGTTGTTATTATGACCCTAGCGAGGCTGCTTTTTACTTAAATTTAAACAATTAATAATATAGGGTTACCGTAGTTACGGTATGATATGCGAAATTGTACAATATAAACTACAGTTTATATGAGTAAAAACCATAAATAAATCTTATTGGAAGAATATACTATAAAATGTACTATAAAGCATACATGAACGCCGCTTATCCCATTCCCATAAAAAGTAACGTTGCTACGATCGTTTAGCGACATTAAAGCTTGGCAGCCATGTTGATCATCTGTTTTAACATGAGCGGAGTGTTTATTTAGTCTTGCAGAAATGAGAGAGAAAAAGAGAAGAGATAAGGAGATCGTTAAATTTATTTCTGATTATTTGCGTGCTGCTCCATATTCATATTAGCAGTCAATTTATGCATAAGCACACAGTTGCTTAACATTTATTAATAAGTGGAATAAGTGGACTTTGAATGGCGATCGTTTACTAAAGTGAAAAATAAATTTTAACAATGGCTAAAATAATGCCTGGGCAGCTGGCAAAAAACAAGTTAACCATTTTATTAAAGGGCAAATTAGCCGCAACCTATCCCAACGTTGTCAAACTAAGATGTCTGGCTACACAAAGATCGGGGTATTCGGACAACTATCAGTATATGCAATGTTCCAAAGTGCCGACTATGCATTTTCAGAAATCCTTACCTCGTTTGCCAATACCAGAAGTTGAAAAGAGTTGCGAACGTTTTCTGAAGGCTACGCAACCTTTATTATCACCTGCACAATATGCAGACACAGAAAAGATTGTACAAAGTTTTAAGCAACAAGAAGCTCCGGAGCTGAATAGTTTACTAAAAGCAAAAGATGAGGCCAATAAACATACTAGCTATATATCCGAACCATGGTAAGAATTCTGTTTATCAATATATTTCAAATTGACAAAATGTTTTTTTTTTAAACGATTACTGGAGATTAAGAAAGTATTGTAAATGGACTGCTCTTTCTGTCTCTCCGTTGACGGAATTTCCAACACCTTAACTTTCAAAGGTAACGAAATGTTGAAAAAATGACCAAAACAATTTGGGCAATAGCTTGCAAAACACAAGAACACGGAGTATTAATGTATGTAAATACTACGTTTACAGTTGAAGTGTTTGAAAGCAGCCTCAAACAACAATCAACACAGTGATTTTCATTAAACTTTAGTGGCAGGCACCTGAGATTTTTGACAGTCAAATAAATCATGTATAGATATTTCATAATTTTAATCGAACTCATTTTGATAGATCTCATCGAATCACTTCGCGGCTTGATTTCTGGTTTGTGAGTGATCTAATTTGTTTCACAACCATCATACCTTAATCTCTGCTGGATCTCGCATCAAATACAA